CTCGTGTAGCCCAGGCTAGCCTCAAACTCACTATGTAGCCAAGGATAACCTTGAGTTTCTGATCCTTCTTCCTTCATTCCCTGAGTGCTGGGATTGTAGATATGTGCTACCACAGCAGACTTTGAAGTGACTTACACTTTCTCTTTTTTCTCATAGGTAATTACTCTGCAGCATTATCAAAAATGGTCAGTTCTGAGGCCAGTAAGATGGCTCAGCAGGTAAAAGTTGCTTGCTGCCTAGCCTGACAACCTGAGTTCAATCCTGGGAGCCACATGGTAGGAGAGAACAAGCTCCTGCAGGTTGTCCCTCTGACTTTAAATGGGCACTTAATCACACATAATAAATAAATGTAATGATGTTTTTTAAAGATGCTTAGTTCTGAATAATAACAAGAATAAATAAATAATAACAAGAATAGTGTTTATAGCATGCCAAGTGCTTTACATGTTGTCTCATTTTACAACCCTGTAAGGTAGGTATAACCACCTCAGTTTTATAGATAAACTGAGGATAAAAGAGGTTAAATGAGGCTTTCAGAGCTAGCTCAGTGGGTAAACTGCTTGCTGCACAAGACTGAGAATTTGAGATTAGATCCCCAACACCTGTATAAAAAGCTAGGCATGCAGGCATATGCCTGTGAATCTAACATTGGGGTACAGAAACAGGCATATCCCAAGGACTTTGCTGGCCAGCCAGTCTAGCCAAAATGGCAAGCTCCAGGTTCAGTGAGAGACCCTGTCTCAACACATAAAGTGGAGAGCTCCAGGCTAGCCACACCTGCACAGTGAGAGCTTATCTAAAAAACAACAAACCGCTGGGCTAGTGGAGCACGCCTTTAATCCCAGCACTTGGGAGGCAGAGGCAGGCAGAGCTCTGTGAGTTCAAGACCAGCTTGGTCTACGTAGTGAGTTCCAGGACAGCTGGGACTACAGAGAGACCCTGTCTCAAAAAGACCAAAAAACAAAAAATAAAAATAAAAAACAATAAACCAACACATAATATCTTAACTAACTAACTAACTAACTAAATAAATAAATAAATAAAATAGAGAGCAATAAAGGAAGATATGCAGTATAGACTCCTGGTCTCCACATTCATATACAGGCAAAGACACTTGCACACTCGTGTGCACACAACTGCATATACCATACACACACACACACACACAAGGTTAAATGACTTTCCTAAGGTCAAAGAGGTATTGCAAGGTTTTGAACCCAGTTCAAATTTGCCTTACTCTAAAATTTGTGCTTATTACAATATACAGGTTGAGTATTATTTATCCAAAGCACTTGGGACCAGAAATGTTTCAGGTTTCAAAGTTTTTTCAGATGTTTCAATACTTGCATTTACTCTATCAATTAAACATACACAATCCAGAAATCCAAATTGTTACTAGATCTGAAAAGTTTTGCGTGCTAATATGAAGCTCAAAAAGGTTAAAATTAAGAGCTGGGCATGAAAATGTATGTCTATAATTCCAGAACTCATGAGGTTGAGGCAGGACTGTATTAAGTTCAAGGACAGACTGGGCTACATAGTGAGTACCAGGCCAACCTGAGATACATAGCAAGACACTGTTTCAAAAAAAAAAAAAAACCAAGGGTTGAAAATATAGCTCTGTGGTAGAGTGCTTGCCTTCCATGTGCAAGGCCCTGAGTTCAGTTCCCAGCTCTACAAAACAAAAAGCTGTGTACACTGCTCTTGAGGACTGGAGTTCAGTGCCCAGCACATATGTATAGCAGCTCACAAACATCTGCAACTCTAACTCCAGATTTGATGCCAGAGGCCTCAGCTAGCACCTGCAGTCACCTATTAAAACCTTTTAAAAATATTTCAAATTAATGGCTATGGATAGTTAAGTATGCATGAGATCCTGGGTTTGATTCCCAGAACCACACAAAAAAAGTTGGGCTGGGGATGTAGTCCAGTTTATAGAGTGTTTGCCTAGCGTTCATGAAAGCCCAGCGATCCATCGCCAGCACCATAGGATCCAGGTTTCACTTAGAATTCTTTTAAAAATGAATTATTATTATTATTATTATTATTATTATTATTATATGTGTGCATGCATATGTACAGGGACAGAGTCCCACAGTGTGTATGTGCAAGTCAAGAATAACTTTTGGAAGTCAGTTCTCTCCTTCCACCATGGGTCCCATCTATGGTGATCCCTGGAAATGAACTTGGGTTGTCAGGCATGGTGGCAAGTACTTTTATGTACTGAGCCATCTCACTAGCCTTCATTTGGAGTTTTTGACCATATTTCTGAATCTTGGTTTGCTTTTTCTTATTTTACCTTCTGTATATTACTATGTATCAGAAATTTCCATAATTATATTGAATAGTCTTTGTTTTTGATACAGATTTTTGCAAGATATAGCTTCATATGGACAAGTTTTGTTTCTTAAAAAAAAAAAACAGTTCATATATGAAACGTCCAAGTGCTCAAATGCTGCTCGCTTGTTAATCCTGTATTGCCACACTGCAGTGAAGTTTTCAATACATGAACCCGTGGGGAATATACTCAAACCATATCTAAATAATAATTTGGAAAGGTGAATCTAAATAGCACCTTTACTTCTACATAGATGGAAGATATAGAATACCAGACATTGCTCCATCACCCTTTGATTCTAACAGATGTCAACAGAAATAAATCTGAAGAATATGAATAATTAAAAAAACTGTGCTATTGAGTCATCTTCTGAATAACCTCTCGTTAGTTCAAGATTTTTTATTATAGTATTATATCAGGAAAAACTTTTTAAAAGGACTATCAGATTGCCTTCCTTTGTCTCTTGTAAAGATTTTTATATGAGGTTTATTAACTTGTTACATTCTTTATTTTATGTGTATGAGTGTTGTGCCTATGTGTGTGTAAGTACAACCTGTGTTGTGCAGTGCCCACAGAGGACAGAAAAGTGCATTGGATCCCCTGGAACTGGAGTTACAGATGGTTGTTTGCCACCATGTGGGTGCTGGGAATCAAACCAGGGTCCTCTGCAAGAGCAGTCAGTGCTCTTAACCACTGAATCATCTTTCCAGCCCAACTTGTTACATTTTCAACTTCAAGCTTCATATCTTTTTTTGACATCCTAATTATGATTTTTACTTTCCTTGTATCTATTATTGTAAATGTTAGTTCATGGATTCATCTGTATGGACTTTAGGGCAGACAGTATGCTTGGTTAGTCTGTAGGAGATCTAGGACAATGGTTTAGGTACCAGTAGGGATATGGGCAGGTAAGCTTCCAGGAAGATAGTACCCTCCATACCAAAGCAGCTTAGCCTTTCTACTTTATATATTAGGCTTCTAAAACTTCATTTCAGGAAGGGAGTTTTCTAATCTAATCCTTTTATTTTATAGATGAATCTTAAATTTTCTTTGGGGCTGGAAAGATGGTTCAGCAGTTAATAGCAAGTAGTACTTTTGCAGAAGATCAGAGTTCAGTTCCAAGTACATACATCAAGCAGTTCACAACCTGTAACTCCAGCTCCAGAGGGATCCAAAGTCCCTGGCCTCCCTGTGTACCTGTGCTCATGTGTACAGACCCACACATAACCACAATTTAAAATAACAGATCCTTCTTGGGGGGACTATGTATCTCACTACATAATCCCTGGTTGTCCTGGAACTTATTATGTAGACCAGACTGGCCCGGAATTCAGAGGTCAGCCTCTGTCTCTGCAACAATTTCCTGCCCTAAAAACAAATGAGACTTTAATATTGAATGAGAAGGAATAACATAGTAATAAAACATGTAGACTAAGACTAAAGAACTCTGTGTCACTTGAAGTTTTACCTTCACACATTAAATTTTATAGAGAAAAATTCAACATGAATATATAGATAAATGTATTTATCGGTCAAATAACATATCCTAAGTGCCTGAATTCTGCTCCAACTGAAAATACCACTTTTTTTGAGACAGGGTCTCCCTATAGCCCCAGCTGGCCTGGAACTCACTATGTAGACCAGGCTGGCCTTGAACTCAGATATCCACCAGCTCTGCCTCCCTCTGCTGGGATCAAAGGCATACACTACCACGTCCAGCTGAAAATATCACTCTCAATAGTACTATTTCACCAAGCAACAGTCAGACTCTCTTGGGATTTAAATTATATTACATCACTCATCTGCTAAAATCACTCAAATGACTGTCCATGATATCATGCCTGGTAAAAAACAAGAGACCTTACAATGGCCTACTCGGCCCTACATGACCAGTACATGCCACTCCTCCAGCCTCAATCGAGTGTGCATTTTGCTACCAAACTTTTTCTTACTCTTCTTAGTCATGCCATGGCCTTTTTGTTTAACTAGCCTCATATGGCAGGCAGCTTCTACCCTGAGACATTTGGACAGTTACCTCGGCCATTCTTCTCCCAGTCACTCCACAGGGCTTGGTGGCTTAGTTCTTTCAGGTATCTGCTAAAATGGCACCTTCAAGGCTCTCTATCCATCTCTATAAAATATCAAAGTCCCACAAACATTTCCTAACACCCTTAGTATGCTGTTTCTACATGGAACTTAACTAATCTCTTCAACATTAGAACTGGTTTTGGTTTCGTACACTACTGAATCCCTCTGCCTAAAAACAGTGTCTGGCTTAGAGCAGGTTCAGTTTTGTTGAATTATATTTTTATCCAATCTGCAAAAATTTACTTGTAGTATGTTTATGGAAAAATGCTAAATGGGAACTTGAGGCCCCTAAAATTGTGTATTTGCCCAAATTCATGGATTTGTACTAAAGGTTCCACAAGTAGGTTAACTATCTATACTCTAGCTCAAGAGTGTTTAAAAATTAAGAGGAGGGGAACCCAGTCGATACAAGTTCTACTATTTCTTCCCTGTCCGTCTCATCTCAACATTCCCTCTTCTCACAAAAAACTTCAGGGACCTCTAGAATTGAGAAGAGTTACATTTTAGTCTTGGATTGAACCCACATGAAATCTCTGTGGGTTGCAGATAAAAACCAAAATAGAAAGCCGCTCCATCAGAGTTAAATCTTGTAGAGCTTTTATTTCAGTGATCAAAAGAATGCAGTTGATGGAATTTATGATTAATGTCAGGCATGCACCTCTACCTGAAACTGCTGTTAGTTTTTGACTGGCCTAAACATTGATCATTTCTTTAGGCACATCTGTGAATGTTTTGTATCCTGAAACGTGAATGTTCTGTAGCCTGATATACAAGGTAATTAACTTCTTCCTATGGCACTCTGGCAATGAGAATTACGCTCCTGAGCTAGATTCCTTTATAACTAAGGATTCTGGATTCTCAGGCAGCCTGTTCTACCTTGAGACCATATTTAAAAATAGTTATTTAAGTAAATTATAGGGGATGGAGAGAATCTAAAAGGCTGAATTTTATTAACTCTCCACAGAATCTTTCAGTTCTGATAGTCAAATGAAAGGTAAAAAAGCCCACAATTAAACAGTGCCAGGTCATTTTCCTACTGCTACCTTTTCTGACACAAAGATCTCTCTAAAAATCTGAAATGAATTCATACAAATAAGAGATTTACCTATGTGGTCCCACTATCAAATTATAGAAAGCAGTTCCACTATCAAAATTATACAAAGCAGTTAAGGGGACCTTGAGAAAGCACAGTCCCATATACAGTAATACGCATTTCATAGTTTCATTTATCTGTCAATTATTTTCACATGAGTAGCTTTAAAAACACAACCAAACACACATGACCCTCAATCCCCCCAACACAAAAATTGGTCTTTGTTCATTCTCAAATGACAAGATGTCCCAAGACTGACAAAAAGCTGGGAGTCAATCTTCTCATAGCCATTTCTTCAACCATATCTTCGACAGCTCTTTGTTTCTCGAACTACTTTTCCAAAGAGGTAATGCTGAGTGAGATCAGTCAGAAAGGCTTTCTGAGAAGACTGGTTTGGATTTCTGGGTCTGTTCCAGTCGATTCAAGATGAACTGGCTTGTATCAATGAAGCGTTCAACGCAATTCACAAAACAGGCCTCAGCCCGACTGTCCAACTTTGGCCCAGGCTTATCCATGCACTTCTCCTGTTCAAGATAAGACACAGAATCACAAAGGGAACTTGCAAACCCAAGTAGATGGGTTGGAACAAATTCTTTTGCTTACATAAATAACTTCACCTAAACTATCTGATGTGTTAATACTTCACATTTGGAACCCAGATTCAAAATTGTGTGTGTGTGTGTGTGTGTGTGTGTGTGTGTGTGTGTGTGTGTGATGTGATTAGATTAGAAAGACTGAGAAGAGATGAAATCTTAAAGGAGGTGGGAAATAGAGAAGGCGGGAATATATGTGATAAGAAAGCAAAAGGAACTGTGGGAGAGTAGAATATATGTGTATGAAGATACCACGATGAAGCCCATTACTTTTTATGCTAACGTAAAAAACTAATATAAAAAAGTTCACATTTGGTAACTTACCAATTGTCAGGCAATTTTATACAGACTTGCATTAAATTTTTGTAACAACCCTATGGAATAGACATCATTATCAACCTGCATGTTACAAATGGAAACTGTGGTACGGTTTGCTCAAAGTTACAGGGCTAGAAAATGGTGGAGCCAGGTATTACGGAGCAAGAAAATGGCAAAACTACAAATGAAATAACCTTTGGCTGGACTTGATCATAACCCCATCATGTTGCTTGCATTAAATGCCTCTAACTGTAGGAGAAATGATTAAAGAACAACTCATTACAGTTGGGCACCTTAAAAACCAACCAAGACAATCTATGAACTGATAGTCTGTAACCTTGTCTACTTAAGCCAAAGGATTATTTTTCTATTTTGTTTTGTTGTCTTCTGAGACAAGAATCTTGCTATGTACCCCAGGGTAGCCTGGAACTTGTAATCCTCTTGTCTGTGCTTCCCAAGTGGTACGATCAAAGGCCTATGCCACCACACCCAACAATCCAGGGTTTCTTTCCATCTCCTCAGGAGGAAAGAAAATTGAATTTTTCTTAAAAAGGGGGGCGGGGGCAATAGCTCACAGTCTTTAAAAGTTTTATTCTTTGACAATGTCATACTTGTTTATTATGTATTTTATCAGATTCACCAGTATGTTCTCTTATCCCCTCAACTCTTTCCCAAGTCCCATTCCTACTTTCATGTCTTTTTTAATGACCAAGTTTAATTACTTTGGCTTGCATGAGCATGGGTGTGGGGTTATTTCCTGGAGCATGGCCAATACTAGTGAATATACCACTAAAGAAAAATGACTACCCCTTCCCCAAGCTAGCTTGCAGATTCTTAAAGCGTTCTTAACCACGTGTACTTCAGACCCAAATGTAATGAAATCAAAGACTTTTTTAAAAAAGTCAAAAAGCTGGAGTTGACAGTGCTGTCCAAGTCTGTGATCCCAGCACTTGGGAGGTGGAGGCAGGGAGATCAGAAGTTCAAGGTCATCCTTATATATTCAGCCTGGAATGCATGAAACTCCATCTTTAAAAAAATATCAAAACACTCTGGTACAAGGCAGACCAGAATTGAGCATTTTGTGAGGGTCACAGTCCGAGAATAAGTAAGTTTACAGGAAAGGGGCTAAGGAAAAGAAATGCCTGTAGTTGGAAGCTGTCAAAATAAAAATTTTTCATGATTCTCTGCTTGATACATAGCCTTAGGGGCTCTCTAATTCCGAGTATTATTCCAGGTCTCTAAATTCTTTAAGTTTATATGTCAAAGGAAGGCAGTGTGTTGTGCTTAGCAACCAGAACACTGTAATCTCTGCTACAAACAAATGCCTTCTGCCCCTTTGCCAAAGTCCCCTCACGGAGCAGACTCAATTTCTCAACCTTCAGACCCTAAACGGGTTAGTATTACACAACAACCCACACCACGAAGGCAAATAATGTGTATGCTGGGAGAAATTATGCCGCTTTTCTATTTACTGGGCTAATGCCACTTGTTTTTTCACCAGGAGGGGTTATAACTGGGTAATCTAGGTAAATCCCAGGGAGTCCAGAAATAACAATGGCAGGCTCTCTCGGATTCGGGCTCCCAAAAATAAAACCCAGTATTGGGGACTCTGACCAACCCTGGAGGCCAGCACTAAGCAGCTTCAACTTCGGGTGCCTCAGAGTATTGGGTGGGATACAGGTGTGAGCCTGTGATTCCCCAGTCACAGCCTCCCTGAGTAGTCACCCTTGTCCTTCCCGCTCGGCCCAAGGATCTGAGCAGCCAGAGTGCTGCGGGATTCCAGTCTCTGGAGTCCCAGACGTCCTAGAGAGTCTAGGGGGGCAAGGACATTGAAATGGGCACAGTGTCCAGATCCCAGCCCCGGGGTCCTCACCCAGCAAAGTTCCGTCATCTGGTGCACCAGCTGCTGGAAGCGCTGCTTCTGTGTCTCCACCTCGATGAAATGCTGCAACTGAGGGTCCACCGCGCCCAAACCCCCGGCGGAAGACGACGAGGAATCCATCCCAGGGCGACCACGCGGGCCGAGACGAGCTCAGAACCGACTGCCCGACCTTCACGTGTCTCGGCGACGGAACCGGAACCACAACCCGCCGCCTGGGGTACCGCCCCGTGAGCTCACTGCGTCGGCGCGAAGCCCGACCCTGCTCCCCCTGCTCCGGCGCCCAGCTTTCTCGCCGGCCGGACCCACTCCCTGCCGCGACCCCGCGGCAGACGGGGGCCTGTATCCAGAGGCACGCGGCGCTGTCCGAGAGCGAGCCAAAAAGAAAAGGAAAGAGTAATGGAGAAAAGGAAGTTACTTCATACCACGTGGCCCTTTTGAGGGCAGGTCCTACAACTCCGCCCTGCCCACTTCCAGATTGGCCCGCGCTTTCCCTGCGGTGGCCTCGCCCCCACCCAGAACTGTTCTGCCGGTTAACTGACTACCTCGTTCTAGTTTCTTGATAGTTTTTCTGTTGATGTAGGTAAATGAGTTCTGGCTGAGTTTGTTCCTAGCTCTAAGATTCGTTCAAATGATGTATGTCTACTGTGCATACACGTGGAAGGCTTGTAAATTCATCTCGGATTCTGAGGCTAACTTTAACAAGAGCAAGAGCCGTGAAATGGCGAGGATTCTGAAGTTCTTGATTAGGAACACTCCAAGACAATAACACTCAATTTTCTGCAATACGGAGATAAGGAGCTTCAGGGCGGCCGCGTGATTAATTGATATAGGAGAGACTTTCATTCTTTGTAGTAATTTTATTGTATCAAAACACTCTCCCGTTTTAAAGGCGCCAGTTCAGGCTATCCCGCCCCAAAACTCTAATTAATACCTACCACCCAACGAGCTGTTGGACACTTAGAGGAGCTATTTACATCCTTCCCTCCCCCAAAATGTTCCCATTCCAAATTCAGTCTGTTAATAGTCTTGGGAAATTTTGTCTTGAGGTTAGGGGTAATACCAGGTACAGGAATTCCCTGGCCTTTGCTCAGAAGCATTATCCCAGGGAATGAAAGGGAGACATTCCTAGGTGTAGAGGGGCCCTTATGTACTCAGCAGGAGCACCTAAGGCTCCAGAGCCTGTGAACCTGGGAGTTCCTCAGAAAAAGTGGAACCGTGGCTTGTAGAGGTGAGGAGTAGATCTTGAAGCTTATCAGACAGCTCAGGATTCTTCATCCACGACATCTAGAATGTTGCTCAAGAGAATTTTGAAAGTGGGCCGTTCATCTGCTTTCTAAAACCAAAGAAAAGGTACAGTGTTACAGGGGCTAGAAACTGAAATCCATGAGAAATCCAATGATAAACAATAAAGTATTAAGTTTATTAAGTACATAGAAAATATCCAACAGCATACCCTCTTGATAGCACACACAAAAGAAAAAAGAAAAAAAAAGTATGAAAAATGAAATAGCAGCCTTCCATAAAGGCCTTGTGTTCTTTTTTAAACATTTTTAAAATTTTTTATTTATTATTATTTTTTAAATTTTATGTGTATTGTGTGTATTGCCTGCATGTAGGTAAGTGCACCCATGTCATGCAATGCCCAAGGAGGTCAGAAGAGGCTGTCGGATCCCCTGGGACTGGAGTTATAGACAGTTGTTAGCTGTCATGTGGGTGCTGGGATATGAACCCGGGTCTTCTGCAAGAATAACCAGTGTTCTTAACCACTGAGCCATCTCTCCAGCCCCCTTGTGTTCTTTTCATCTTTAACAACTCAAGTATTTGTGTGATAAGAATTGGCAAATTAAACTGACAAATTGATTAAAACTGAGGACAACAAGTTCATTACCTAATTATACACAGTATACACTCATCTTGGAGCTGAAGTGAAAAGAGCTCTCAAGCATGCTTTAACTGGTTGGCAGAACAGAAAACCTACAAGCAGGGATAATGTGTAGTTAGGTTTCGATGCAGTTTCTAAAAAGCTAAATGAACAAGGACTTGCCATTGCCTGGCATGAACCCTGAGCAGCTGGGGCCTTTTATTGGTCTGGCCTTCAGATAAAGGTTCTTTTGGAGGACCACGGGCCATAAACTCCAGAAGTTTAGGGTTTTGTTTTTGTTTTTTTTTGTTTGTTTGTTTGAGACAGGTGTCACTCTGTAGCCTGGAACTCAGTTGTAGCTCAGGCTAGCCTCAAACTCATGGCAATCCTTCCTGCATCTACTTTCTGAGTGCTGGGACTACATGCATAAACCACTGTGCCTGACTGTTTCAGAGGTATTTAATAAATCAGGAAACATTCATGACAGAATGGTCTCAATCTATCAGAACCAAAGGGCCACTTCTTTCTTAGTGCTTTGAGTTGTTTTTCTTTTTAAAATTTTATTTTAGTTTATGTGTATGAGTGTATTGCCTGCATGCATGAAAGTATACCATGTGTGTGCAATGCCCATAGAAGAGGGTGTCGGACCCCTGGAACTGGAGTTTGGGATGGTTGTTAGTCACCATGTGGGTGCTGGAAATTGAGCCCAGGTCCTCTGGAAGAACAGCAAGTGTTCTTATCCACTGAGCCATCTCTCCAGCCCCTTCTTTTCACTTTTTAAGACAGGGTCTCACTATGTAGCACTAGTTGGCCTGAAGCTTGCTATGTACAACAGGCTGGCCTCAAACTCACCTACCTCTGCCTCCTGAGTATTGAGATTAAAGGCGAGTGCCCAAAGAATTAGCATTCATTTCCTGCTAGAGCTTTAAGTTATCAAATCAAGATTGCTAAGGATTTTCTGAAAACTAGATGAAAGGGTAAGAGAGATGAATCAGCACAAGAGAGCTGACTGTTGTTGCAGAGGACCTGGGTTCCATTCCCAGCACCCACAGCCCAATTTCAGGGGATCTTAGGCCTTCTGACTGCTGCTGGCACCTGCGTACACATGGTGCACATAAACTCATGCAGGCACATATAAGAAAAGAAAGGAAGAAAGAAAGAAAGAAAAAGAAGGAAAGAAAGAAGAAAGGAAGGAAGAAAGAAAGAGAGAGGGAGAGAGAAAAAAAGGAAATAGTGGAGGAACAACCCAAGGTAAAAGCAGCAAAGAATTTTGAGACAGGATCTTCTTGTAGCCCCAGCTTTCCTGGAACTCACTATGTAGATCAGGCTGGCCTTGCTCTCACAGAAGTCCTCAAAACCACTGCCTCCCAAGTGCTGGGATTAAAGACGTGTGCCACCACATCCAGCTTTGTTTCCTTGTTTGAGACAGGGTCTCAGGAGGCTGGCCTCAAACTCACTATGTATGACTTTCAACTCTGATTCTTCTGCCTCCATGACCCAGGTGCTAGGACTGCAGGCCCTGTACCACCACAGCTGGCTTGTGAGGTACTAAGGATCAAACCCAGGGCTTCATGCATGCTATGTAATTACTCTGCTAAGTGAGCCATATCCCTAGCCCCAGAAAAGAATGCATTGTTTGCAACAGTGGGACAGGTTCCTTATTTCCAAAATACCACAACTGCCCATCCGCAACCATCCGTATGGAAACAGAGTCTTACAGGCTCCTGGAACCTTGCTTATATGAACCTACAGCAATGGTGTCATAAGACCCATGGGTGCACAAGACCCGTGGAAACTCAAGTAGACAAAAATCCAGCATAGAACTGGGGAGATGGGCAGCAGGCCCCAACCTCAGCCAAGGAAATATTGGCAGTTGATTACTGCTAGGTGAGGGAGAGTTGAACTTTAAGGGGGTGACTTTAAAGGCTGACTAGACCCCAGCGAATGACCTTGCTTGAGGGATGTCTAGGTACACTAACTTGACTCAATAGGCCTTAAAATAAATGACAGAATGCATGAAATCTGGTGGGGGATGGCTTTTTGGAGAATGCGGATGGGAGAGGGTATAAAGATGATTAAGATGTTTTGTATGAAATACAAAAATTCAATAAAAATACACAAAAAATTAAAAAAGCAGAAAACAAAACAAAACAAAAACAAAAACCCGAGCAGACAAACTAAAACTATTTAAAGCCACTTCAAGGCAGTAGAGTTTTTAAAATCTCATTTAGACTTTCAGCCAGAACAGGTTGGTGGCTGGAAAAGTGGAAGACAGACCAATGAGTTCCTGAGGAGTTCCAGGTAAAGGATGACAGACTTTGGAACATCTGCACACTAATCTGAGTCCCTTTGGTTGTCTGCTGTGGTAGATGACATGCCCCACAGACTCCACTCCTTAAAGCTGAACTACATAATAGAATCTGTTAATGATACACTAGTGAGAACTGGGGTGGACCTGGGAAAGCCTTTGCCAACAGAGGACTGGGATGCAGGCTGGTATCAGAGAGTACATGCAGCTATCATTCTGTGCCCAGATGGCATGTCTTGTGGAGAGTGGGGACTGGCCAATTAAACGAGAAATTAAGTTCAAGGGAATAATTTAGGCAGGATCTCTATAACACTCACCTCATGCCAGCAGCTGTACATGATGGTATATACCCTCTCTGAGGCCAGATGAGGCCTGTAGAGACGTAGGCCTTGAGCAATGTGTTCAGCGGTCTCACTGTTACTAAATCTCTCATATGGCATTTTCCCCAGGGAGTAAATTTCCCACATTAAAACTCCTAGAAGATGAAAAAGTATATTAAGTCAGTTAGCAGTCTTTTGGAATAGTGAGGGTCCTAATCTATCCAGATGAACCTCAAAGATGAGAATGAGCTGATTTCCTCCTCTGTGCATTTTGCATTTATATAGACTTCTGCTATAGTTCTGGCTACACTGATGGCTATCTGCATTTCACTAGACCATTCAGCGACTTTAGAAGAGAGGCTGCATCTTATTGTTTCGGCTGTTACTGGATCTGGCAGCGTGACTAGTACATAATTAGTATTCAAAAGCTTTTGGGTATTGAATGAGTTGTTTCCCAGGATATACTGTAAATTCTAAGAAGACAGGGATTATGTTGAGCTTACTATGTGTGTCCTCAGAAACCCCTGAGGTTCCTGACACATGGTAAGCACCCCCTGAAGATTAGACGAATGAAAGCAAGAACAATCTCTCTGTGCAGGATGCAAAATTGAACATTCCCATTACATTATCTTCCTTTGAGTTGTAATCTGGATTATCTCTCTATCTCTCTGCCTCTCTCTCTCTCTCTCTCTCTCTCTCTCTCTCTCTGTCACAGCATACATGTGGAGGCCAGATGACAACCTCAGGTATTGGTCCTTGCATTCTACTTTGTTTGAAACAGCATCTCTCTTCTTGTTTTTTGGTACATTAACAAAATTAGCTGGCCTATGAGCTTCTGGTGGTTCTCCTGCCTCTGCCTCCCATCTCCTGGCAGGGGCATAGT